CAGGAATAACAATTTTTCTCTTAACATTCAATCTAGAAGATGCAACATTAGTTTTTACATCCTGCAAATCTTAAGAGTTTGTGATTATAGTATATTAACCATCTTTCAATGCACCAGAAGCAATCGCATATCTATTCAATTTTATAAAACCAGTTTTAGAAAATAACAACACAGTTTTTATAAACCACAAGTGAAACAAAAATTAGATAGCGTCTAACCACTGTGCATAAAGATAATTCTCTAATACTAATATCCTCATACTCTCTAATTTCATATGTAATACTCCCACTGACTTAGCTACAACCTTGAAATCAGGTCAAATACAAATATATTCCATATCATCGAGGCTTCTGGATTCTTGAAATCCTTGCAATGAATTGCAAACATGTTTAGTGGCTCCAGAATCTATTCATCAGGAATTAATAGATGCAACCACATAACATGGCTCAATAATTAAATATATATTTTCCTATGCCACGTCATTGCTTAGACAGTTCGTCCTATAGTGTTTTAGTTAGCGGCAAAAGAAACAGTTTCATTCGCCCTCAACATACACTGCCTTATTCCCTTTAACCTTTTAGATACCTATGTTTTGTGCTAGCCTAGTCCTATTATCATCCTTCTTCTTTGTTTTACCCGTCCACTTGGGCCTAGAAGAAGATGGTATAGACTAGGTTAGATTGATAGAAACGCCCATACTCTTGATTATCCCTTCATCTGTTACCAATTCTATAAGAATATCAGCGAGTGTGAACTCAAACTGATTCCTTATTTAGTTCACTCTAACAGATCGAATGAGTTTGGTAACAAGGCAATAATCATGTTAACTTGAAACTTACCACTCAAGTCAGCCCTATTGATCTCCAGCTAATTTTTAAATAATAAACAATCATTTTCCAAAATTCGATTTCATACTGGAGTTCCTTAGGCTATCTTGATGTTATTCAAGTCTGATATAGTACTTTGGCATACTCTCTATCTAATCTCACCAAAACATCTTATTGACATTTAACATGATGCTTGAAGAAAATAAAATAATGTAAATGTTAGCTTTGGAGCGTATTCGAGGTAAACTCTAGAATATTGCACCAAGTCATCTCATTTGCCTTATTTCACTTATTCAAAGCATTAATGTTCTCTTGGGTATCTTAAAGTAAAATGATTGGGTTTAGGAGTAGTAAATACATTTGTACCCTTACATTGTGAATAAAATATCTAAGTTCATTTCTCAGTCAATATTAATGAGGTCCAGTTACATTGAATATGTAAGCAAGTAGACAAATTGGATTAGACATAATTAATCTGAATATAAATACATTCATACAATATGCAAGGTGAATTATTAATACTGTCATGCATATTTAAAATTAAAATGAGCTTGTTAACCACATAATACAATAAATCTCAATCGAACAAGAGATCATTATCATTATTGATGAACAATCTATTTTAATTAATGCGGGTCCCTCAACTCTGTAGCATAATAAATCAACCAATCAATATGTCAATAACTTATCCTATTAGAGGAGTTCATTATTACTATTGTTGAGATTCATTTACTATTAGGCGAGCACTTCCATTAAAATAGTATGTGGGTCCCTTAACCACTGCATGAAAAATTGAATAACCAATACGCCAATAACTTATTCGGTTGGCGAAGTTCATTATTGCTATTGGCGGGCAAATATCATCATTTCCATATCTCTTAAGACAATGCCTTGTCTATCTATATGAAATGATTTCCGATTATGTTTAGCCTTTCTAAAATCACCTAGTATAGACCACTCCGTTGGGGAGCTAACACTATTGATTTTAGATTGAGTGTATAACGTTATTAATGCTCTAATGAAAAATAAAACATTAAATATCTTGTCATTATAATCTAGACTCTTTAAATCATGCGTAGGGCCTTATTTTTAAATATCTAATTACAATGAACATTTAATATTATTATTTTTATGAGATAACCATTCTTGTAATATTAAGACTCTTCAAATCATGCGTGGGGCCATATTTTTAAAGATCTAATTACAATGGTGTTAATAACAAAGGCCATGGGGCAATGTATAAAAATCCCCGCTCCCACTCAAATTTTAATCATTCATAATTAGAGTTTTCATTTTATTCATTTACATGATATAATGCATGCAAAACGTCTTGATTTTAATCCAATTAAATTTAGAAAATATTTGGACTTTAAACGATTCACTAATATTTAATTTGAAGTACACTTTAAAAAATAATTTACAAAAAATAATTTTGCGTTTCCCAATAAGTGCCCTCAAATTAACTAGTAATCAGATCCAATTAATTTTCATAACTTAATTAATATAAATCAAGCCATTTAAATAAATATCATGGATCCAATGCATGAATAATAATTAATAATCAATTATCTATTCCATGCATCACATACATCAATAAATAATTAAACCACAGACAGAAACAATTTAAATGGCCAATGGATTTAGCTTTTAACATTTAATTGCTCTAAGTATTGCCCGAGGGTCCTCCATCCACTTGCAAACACCCGTAGGAGACAAGAACGCGCCTGAAGAAGCATAACAGTGCCTGGAACAAGCCCGAAGGACCCCACACGTGCTCCCAAACGCCTAGGGGAGCTGCCAGGTCAAGACACGCGCCCCCACGCGCTTGCACACGCCTAGGGCGCGTGGGAGCACCTCCACGCGCCTGCACGCGCTCGTGGAAGAGGTTGACTTGTGCTGGCGCGTGCTTCTCACGCGCCAGCAAACTGATGACCCTGGCGCGTGCTCCTCACGCGCCAGGTGTATTATGTTGGTGCTGCACTTGATTGCAGCCCTTGATCAACGGTTGTGGATCTGGTTGCATGGTCCTGCGCTGCACCGGATCCCATCTCTTCCTCCGGTCCTACCTCTTGCCGCCGGCGAGCCTCCGGTTACCGGAAAACCGCCGAAAAATTCCAGAAAAATTCCCAGAAAATTAAATTAAGCCTCAAAAAATTCTAGAAAAATTCCAAAAAATTCGAAAAAATTTCAGAAAATTACTGAAGCATAATTTAACCCTTTTGGACCTTCTTGAAGCTTCATAGCATCCTTTGATGAATATTACATGACTTTAAAAATATTTACAACTTGAAATACAATGGGAAAAATAAATTACATCATTGAACTTTCAAACGGCTAAATCAAAGCCTTAATTACATTCATCCAAAGATAAAATTACATTCAATATTCTTATAAGCTTCATCCATGGCCCAACCATACATCATCATTCATTCACAATTATTCATACATCATCATGTATCAATATATATCAACATATTAAATCATACATCAACATACATCAATAAAAATATATATATGAATATAATTTTGGATCCATGAATGATGATTTTCATAAAATCATGATCTCTAGTAATGAATCAAACCATGATCTGATACCACTGTTGGGAAACGTGCAAGTTTTAAAAACTTTTCGAGGGATTTTGATTCATAGATCTTGATTCATCACATAGAGACAAGTTTTATGCAAAAATAAAACATGATGTATCATTCAATTAAAAGATTGAATACTTACATCAAGGTTTGAGTAAACCTTAGATCTCTCCTCTAAAGTGAATGTTCTCACTTATTGTAGATCCCTTTTGCTAGACACCTTTTTCATGGATCTCCATCTTCTTGGTAATTGTTTTGCCTTTAGGAATTACTCATAAGCCTCCATGAATGATCTTGGAAAACTAGGCTTGTGGGAGTCTCCATTAGATGAGAACATAAACCCTAATTTTCTAGAGAGAGAAAATATATATTCCTTTTTCCTTCTACTAAAAATCACCCCTAAAATATACATAGACCATGTATATTTATAGGTAACATAAAGGTAAAGAAAAGGAAACAATTAATCCTTCTCAATCTCTAATTCACATGTCTCAAATCTAATATGATTCCAATATCAAGTTGGGCTATAAGTGAGAATCCATTGGGCCTATTATTTTATTGGCTACAATGAATTAATAATTGGCACGGTCCATGGACCCAATTCAATTAATTCATAAATTAATTTCTACTCCACTAAAAGAAATTAATTGAACTCCAATTAAATAATAAATAACCACTAAGTCAATATTGCACTTTGACCCCTCTATGCATAATTAGTTATCGGATAAATAATGCCATCAATCCGACTACTTAATTAATATATTTATTTTGATACCTTTGATTATTTCTGGCTTGATCACAATAAAACATTTGTTTGACAAAAAATAATAATTTAATAAATAAATATATAACAAATCATTTTGTCTAAAAACATACGAAGGCCTTCGAATTTACTTTGTGATCAACCATAATCAATACAAAATAAATACAAGTAGCAATGATGCAAATATTGAAAATATAACCCTCTAACTATTAATTACATAACTACCCAAAGTGTCGGTCTAAGGATTCCGAAGAATCCACCGAACAAATCAAAGTAATTATTAATTAATAAAAGAGTCTATAATTTTCTCATGCTTAAGGTCAAATGCTATGACGGTGCTAGGGAGCAATTGCATACGACGGCTCTCGCAATATATCTCAACCTAACGCGGATCCAGTTCAAGTCTTAATTAATTATGAGTCCATCCATAATTACCGACTATGAACAATTTATAATTACTATGTATATATCATGCATTGATTGCCATCACATACATATATATAAATATTTCTTGTAATCACAGGGACACTATCAATTTCATAGTGAATCGAAACATAATACATTGAATTCACCAATTATATAAATCATAAATATTTCAGATATGTCAGGAACATATGTCACTTTAATCCAGATAGAAATTTGCTATGCCAGGGCATATAAATCCCAACAATTATATGTAAAGTATATGGTTGGAACCTAAATCAGTTAGTCATCTTCTCTATAGGTGTCCAAGAGCCAAGTTGGTTTGGAAGCTTTCTACGCTTAGATTCGATGGGGAGGAAGTTGGCTATGGACAGTGGAATAGATGGTGGAGATAAAAAATGGAGAATTGGTTGGGCTTAAGTGAGGAGCACTCGATGAAGAGTATGGTTGCTTTTCTTTGTTGGCAGATTTGGAAGGCGCGTAATGCTTGGGTGTTTGAGCAAAAATGGTGGGATGCAATGGAGATAGTTAGACTTGGAGAAGCTCACTGTTTTGAATTTTTAAATTGTAATGTTGCTCCTTTTGCTACTATGAGATCACACTGTTCAGGGCAAAATAGTTATGGGAATCCTATTAGGTGGCAAGCTACTCCAGTGGATGTGATTAAAGTTAATACTGATGCATCATTTTGTAAAGTATTATGTGAGACTGGAGGTGGAATGGTTCTGCGTGATCATAGGGGAAATGTGTTGCAATTGGCATCTTTTTTCTTTCAAGGAGTTTCAGATCCGTTAGTGGCTGAAGGTTTGGTGCGTCGAAATGTTATGGACCAGGTTATTCGATGTGGTTACAGTCGTATTGTGTTTGAGATTGATGCAAAGGTCATCGTCAAGGCTGCGATGTTAGATGGGTCTTCATCTCTTTTACTTAGCCCTCTAGTAGAAGATATCCGTGAATGACTTCATCGTCACCCTAATTTTGATTTGGTGTATACGCCTAGAGCAGGGAATGAGGTTATGCTTTACAAGAGAAAAGTATATGTTTATGGGATGATAATTTTCTAAAGTTTGTTTTGCATAAAACTATTTTGGATGTAATTTCTGGTTCTAATCAATAAATATGTTTTTTCCCTAAATAAAAAAAAAAATTCAAAAAATTAGAATTTGGGAATATATATATTATTTTATATTATATTTATATTAATAGAGCTGGAAATAAGTTTGTGCAGCAGTTGATGGTGTCTGAGACTGACGGTCACATGTAGGTTCGCAGTTGCGCACACGGCATAGTCTTCATTTCTCTCTCTGAAACAGGAGAAAAAGCTAGCAAGCATTAGACAGCTGTATAACAAATCAGCTCTGCTTTGCACATTCACATTGTTTTATATTTTTTCAGATTAATTAATTCAAAGTCGAAGCTCTTTGCATCAAGATCGATCTATGGACACATGCATATAAATAGTATGACGACGATGAAGAGGCTTTTACATGAGCCCTAGTTTTTAGGGGTCTCACTCTGATTCATCTACTTCTTCATCTTCGCTGACTGTTATTAGGTACCGTATATACTCTCTCTCTCTATATGTATGTATTTCAGTACATCTTTTGATGCTGCTTTGTGATGAACATTGTTTGCTCTCTTTGAACTGAGTTTCAAGTGTCATTTTTTTTTTTTTTTTTCAAATTTTGTTGTAAGAGTTTGACTTCATTTCAACTTCTTCAATGTCTCTGCAGCTTTAGCTTTGAAATCTTAAAATTTTAAGATCTGCTTATGAATCGGTGGTGGAGATTTAAGACTGCTGATTTTTCTTTTGAATTATTCCAAATCCTTCTGCAATAGAGAACTTCCTTCGAGTTCGTAATCTCAAGATCTGTACTTAATTCAGTAGTAATAGTTCAAACCAATGCAGATCATTTTTTTTTTTTTGCCTTCATGTTGGAAAATGATTTCTTGTAAGAAAGCTACTTATTAAAAATAATGGCTAGTTCTGCAATTTTATGTACAAATTGTTTGTTTTTTTTTTTTTTTTGGACTGGATTGGAACTCTATTGATCGATGCTTCTGTAGTAATTATTTATGTCATTTTCGGTCATGATAATTTCTGATAGAAAGATAAATCTATGATAGTGATCTGAAGGTACAATGATTGTCTTTGAATTTTCTTGTTTTCTAGAAATTTCAGGAATTGAGTGTAAATCTCTGGTAATATGGCGTCAAAATCTTTCAAGGCAACTAGGTCATCTCTATCTACAACTTCAGATGCTGTTAATGATTCACAGCACAATAAGCCTCCACTTCCCCCAACTGTAACATTTGGTAGGAGAAATTCATCAGGACGATATATAAGCTACTCGAGGGATGATCTTGACAGTGAATTCGGTAGTGGTGATTTTATGAACTACACTGTGCACTTGCCGCCAACACCTGACAATCAACCAATGGATTCAGTGTCACAAAAGGTTGAAGAGCAATATGTGTCGAATTCACTTTTTACAGGTGGGTTCAATAGTGTTACACGAGCCCATCTCATGGACAAGGTGATCGAATCAGAAGCAAATCATCCCCAAATGGCTGGTGCAAAAGGATCTTCATGTGCAATTCCCGGGTGTGATGCGAATGTGATGAGTGATGAAAGGGGTGTGGATATTCTCCCTTGCGAATGTGATTTCAAGATATGTAGGGATTGTTATTTGGATGCAGTTAAAACAGGAGATGGCATTTGCCCAGGGTGTAAGGAGCAATATAAGACCATGGATTTGGATGACGTGGCAGAAAACAGGAATCCACTTCCACTCCCTCCCCCAGCTGGGATGTCGAAAATGGAGAGGAGGTTGTCACTGATGAAATCCACAAAGTCAGTGCTGATGAGGAGCCAGACTGGAGATTTTGATCACAACCGTTGGCTGTTTGATACAAGAGGCACCTATGGGTATGGAAATGCTATATGGCCAAAGGAGGGAGGATTTGGGAATGGGAAAGATGATGAGGTAGTTGAGCCTTCAATGTTAATGAACAAACCATGGAGGCCACTCACGCGAAAATTAAAGATACCTGCTGCTATTCTCAGCCCATACAGGTACATCCTTTGTTTCCTGATTTTTTATTTTTATTTTATTTTATTTATTTTTTTCCTGAATTCACAGATTCTTCTTTGGTTATTAAGCTGGTATGAATGCTAAAAAGATAAGACATTTCCTTTTAAGATGTATTGGTCAAGTAAAATGATATGATGATATCTTTCTGGTTTGCTTTAGGGTTAAAATCTTCCAATCTTGTTGTGCTTGTGGTTTTGTTATGATGAGGCATCTTTCCACACCCTAGAAGTTCAATGAATAACAGATAACTTTATCTTAATGCGTTCCCACCTACAGGCGACATCATATCCATCTTGGCTGCTTATTGAAGCTAGAGTGTAGGGAATTGTGCATCTCAAATCACAATAAATACGCTAGCCATACAAGCCATTGTGCAACAGCAGCACTATGAATAGGTTCAGTAAAGGGATTTTCAGTTGATATTTATTTGATATTGCTTATGCAACTTTCATGATCTGCAACAAAAATATTAAAAGTTCAATCTTGGGATTCTAATAGGAAACATGATCTAATGTATTTCAGAAAACATTATTGGGTATTAGTACACTTTTAGTCATATTAATTATCAAATTTCATCTTGATATCACTTTATTAAATTTAAAATTATGGATGAGGAATCAACTCGGTACTACCATGGTAAAATTCATGCGGATCACTGCTGAATTAGATAGGGGGCATTGCAAGCCATTTGGGTAACTTTCAAAAATGATTAAAGAATATGAGATGAAAGAATGATTGGGTGTGTCTATTCTAATAGGAAACATGATCTAATGTGTAATTTCAGAAAACAGTATTGGGTATTAGTACACTTTTAGTCATATTAATTATCAAATTTCATCTTGATATCCCTTTATTAAATTTAAAATTATGGATGAGGAATCAACTCGGTACTACCATAGTAAAATTCTTGCAAATCACTGCTGAATTAGATAGGCAAAGCCATTTGGGTAACTTCCAAAAATGATTAAAGAATATGAGATGAAATGATTGGGTGTGTCTGAATTTTTGACAATTGAGTTTAGGTCTGCATGCTCTCTCTCTCTCTCTCTCTATATATATATATATATATATATATATATATGTATGTATGTATATCCCCATGTTTCTCCATACCATGAGTGTTGCAATCCCTTTTGTTTTCATTTAGTGGCATTTCCTTAATTGCCAACCTATGGTTTTCATGCACATGTTACATGAACTAAATATATACTACAGCGTTGCATGGTCTCTTTATGTAATGCATGCTGATGGATGCTTTCTTATTTTTTGTGGCATTCATTCTCACAGGCTTATTGTTTTTATTCGGATGGTTGTTCTTGGATTATTCTTGGCATGGAGGGTCAAACACCCAAACAATGATGCGATCTGGCTATGGGGGATGTCTGTGGTTTGTGAAATATGGTTTGCCTTTTCTTGGGTTCTTGACCAACTGCCTAAGCTCTGCCCTATCAATCGTTCTACAGATCTTAATGTACTAAAAGAGAAGTTTGAAACACCTAGCCCCAACAACCCCACTGGAAAATCTGATCTCCCAGGCGTTGATGTTTTTGTCTCAACTGCAGATCCAGAGAAAGAACCCCCTCTTGTTACTGCAAATACGATCTTGTCTATTCTAGCAGCTGAATATCCTGTCGAAAAGCTTGCTTGCTATGTTTCTGACGATGGAGGTGCCCTTTTAACCTTTGAGGCCATGGCCGAAGCTGCCAGCTTTGCTAATGTATGGGTCCCATTTTGCCGTAAACATGCCATTGAGCCCAGGAACCCAGAATCTTATTTCAATTTGAAGAGGGATCCTTATAAAAACAAGGTGCGGACGGACTTCGTCAAAGATCGTAGACGGCTAAAACGTGAATATGATGAGTTTAAAGTCCGCATCAATGGCCTGCCAGAGTCTATCCGCCGGCGGTCTGATGCCTATAATGCTCGGGAAGAAATAAAGTCCATGAAGCAACAGAGACAGAAGCCGGATGATGAACCTGTGGAGAGTCTGAAGATCCCGAAAGCGACATGGATGGCCGATGGGACCCATTGGCCTGGGACGTGGCTGAATCCTTCATTGGAGCACTCTAGGGGTGATCATGCTGGAGTAATACAGGTTTTGTTTTATCAGTAGACCTACTTATAATATTAATGTTGTCAATGAGATGGTTAGGATTTTGAAACTGAAGAAGTTAGCAGGTCCTGAAAGAAGGGTAAGAAATGTTAAATGGATTTCTTGAATGATGCAGGTGATGTTGAAGCCTCCCAGTGATGGGCCGTTACAAGGAACAAATGATGATACCAGGTTAATTGACCTGACTGATGTTGATATCCGTCTCCCCCTCCTTGTTTATGTTTCACGTGAGAAGCGTCCTGGCTATGACCACAACAAGAAGGCAGGGGCCATGAATGCCCTGGTTCGGGCTTCTGCAATCATGTCTAATGGCCCCTTCATTCTCAACTTGGATTGTGACCACTACATCTATAACTCTCAGGCTATGAGGGAAGGCATGTGTTTCATGATGGATAGAGGTGGGGACCGGATTTGCTATGTGCAGTTCCCCCAGAGATTTGAGGGTATTGACCCGTCTGATCGCTATGCTAATCACAATACTGTTTTCTTTGATGGCAATATGCGGGCTCTTGATGGGCTCCAGGGTCCAGTGTATGTCGGAACTGGATGCCTCTTTCGGAGGATTGCCCTTTATGGGTTTGACCCACCTCGATCAAAAGAACACCACCCTGGTTGCTGCAGCTGTTGCTTTGGCCGTCGTAAGAAGCTTAACACAGTTGCTAGCACCCCAGAAGAAAGCAGGGCCCTGCGAATGGGTGATTCAGATGATGAAGATATGAACCTCTCACTAGCTCCAAAGAAATTTGGAAACTCAACTTTCCTCATTGATTCTATCCCGTTAGCGGAGTTCCAAGGTCGTCCCCTTGCAGATCATCCCGCTGTAAAGAATGGCCGACCACCTGGTGCTCTCACCATTCCCCGAGAGCATCTCGATGCATCAACTGTTGCGGAGGCAATCAGTGTCATCTCCTGCTGGTATGAAGATAAGACAGAGTGGGGAGAGCGTGTTGGCTGGATTTATGGGTCTGTTACTGAAGATGTGGTCACAGGGTATAGAATGCACAACAGGGGATGGAAATCAGTATACTGTGTCACCAAACGTGATGCGTTCCGTGGAACTGCCCCTATCAATCTCACGGATAGGCTTCATCAGGTCCTCCGCTGGGCTACTGGCTCAGTCGAGATATTCTTCTCCCGCAACAACGCTTTACTGGCAAGCCCAAGGATGAAGTTTTTGCAGAGGATTGCATACCTCAATGTTGGAATCTACCCTTTCACCTCCATCTTCCTAATTGTATACTGCTTTCTGCCTGCACTTTCTCTCTTCTCTGGCCAGTTTATTGTGCAAACTCTCAATGTCACTTTCCTTACCTACCTTCTGGTCATCACAGTTACTCTCTGTTTGCTTGCTGTGCTTGAGATTAAGTGGTCGGGCATTGCACTAGAGGAATGGTGGAGGAATGAGCAGTTTTGGTTGATTGGAGGTACTAGTGCCCATCTTGCTGCAGTGCTTCAGGGGCTTCTGAAAGTCATTGCCGGGATTGAAATTTCTTTCACCTTGACATCAAAATCAGCAGGTGATGATGAGGATGATGAGTTTGCTGATCTCTTTATTGTCAAGTGGACGGCCCTCATGGTTCCACCAATCACAATTATGATGACTAACTTGATAGCAATAGCTGTAGGGTTTAGCCGGACAATATACAGTGTTATACCTCAGTGGAGTCGTCTTATAGGTGGGGTTTTCTTCAGTTTCTGGGTTTTGGCACATCTCTACCCCTTTGCTAAAGGGCTAATGGGAAGAAGAGGGAGGACACCCACCATTGTTTTCGTATGGTCGGGACTTATTGCGATCACCATTTCGCTTCTTTGGGTGGCAATCAGTCCCCCCTCAGGCACTAACCAAATTGGAGGCTCATTCCAGTTTCCCTGATTAGACATTTGTTTCCTCTCAAAGTGAATCTATAAGCAACATTCCTTCATTAAATTCTTTGTGCCGGTGAACAAAATTGGCATGTTCCATGCCTTTCCCATTTTGTTACTGTACAACTAAACTGGATGAGCCTGAATCATTTTTATTTGAGTTAGTTACATGAATCTTGCTTCATCATTGTAGTATAATTTTAATGAACATTATAATAGTTAGAAAAAGTTGATTGGGCTCAGAAAATTAAAAATCATGGATTTAAAAGCATGTTCACTATTTTGCTATCACGATATGTGACATGAGATAGGTTTGGTCCAATCTATAATGTTGGGGTTGATGTACATTGTATAAACCGAATGAGTAGGGAAAATGACTTTGTAAGTATTGGATGACAATTCCATTTTCAGAGCACCTATCAAGTGTAAGCCTGTTATTAATTACAGCCTAATTGGTGTGTTTTTTGTTTTTGATTTACTGCTTGTAAAATTTACTTTTTCTCTCTGTTTGGTTAATATCGTCGCTTGCTCAAACACTTGCATACATTAAACTTGACTTAACAGACTTTAGCATGAGAGCTCAAGCGTTCTTGTTTACGTTTTCTCATAATTTGAGTGTTCCTAGATGTATTTGAACATAATATATCATATCTTTACTATGCATTTGAATCTGTATTTGTATGTATGCTTAGTGGATACATAGTAGGAAAACATCTCTAGTTTTCAAGCTAATAGTCCCCACAGCTTGTGGAGTTCTAGGGATAATTTTGATTTCATCTTTTCTACCCCTTGGTTAGCTTGTCAAGAAGAGAAAGCCGTGCCAACCTTTTATTCAAATAACTAGTTTATTGTACTTAATTATAGAAACCCCTCTTGTAGAAGGGAAAAAAAAAAGTTACAGTATGTTGTAAGCTCGCATATTCCTATCCAGGTTATACACATGCAGGAGGCATGAACTTGGTTTTTCCAAAAACAGAAAAACCCGAACCCAACAATCAATTAACAATCATTTTTAAGAAGATAAACATGTCAAAACCACACATTCTTGTTGCCACTGATGAGATGCAGACAATAAAACTACTTCACTTCTTAGTCCTTATCAACATGGCACCGGCTAACCTAATTTCGAGGAATCTAATCTTTCTAACCCTCCTATCATAACTCAAGATCCCAGAGAATGTTATTGATGAATTATATGATTTTTAACTCTCGAAAAGGTATGTAAGCCATTGGATATCGGCTGCTGTGTGTGCTAATGCCCCATGTTCTGCTTCAACACTTAATCTGATTTTCTGGTTGATCCACAACAACATTTTAAGATTCCAGATCCCATCACCTTATTTTCAGCTACCTAGAGCAATTGTCCCTTAAGATTCCAGTATTTCAACATTGAAGCCAGTGTTAATGCTTAAGATTTCCAATCATGTATGACACTAGGAATTATCTTAACAGTGTGAACCATTAGCCCCGAGATTCGCTTGGTTGGTGACATGGTGTTCTAATTAAGGACACATGCTTAATATGCCCACTTGCAGTAGCCTAAGGGCAAAGACTCACCTCACATCCTGGAGGTCGAGAGTTCGAAACCCTTTGGGGCCGCCCCCAAGGAATTTTTTTGGTAATTACCCAGTGCATGTGGGATGACGAGGGACTACATGTGCCCGGTAGTGGATTATGGGGTGCTGTAAGAGGTTTGACACTACATCATTGACGAAAAAAAAAAATTGTACCAGTCAGCAATGCAGCAGCTGCACCTCCTGCCCGGTTGTGGCCATCACCCTTTCCTCCAATATTAAGTGTCCTTAATCTGACCCCCAGATGATATGAATTGCATTCATTTCTTCTCAAACCTACCAAACGAATGCCTGTTGAGGAAGACCATGCATCTAGTTATTTGGAAAGCATCAATTGAAACCCTAATTTAAAATTTGTTACTTGGAGTTCAGCACTGCTCATCACCATTTCAGACCCTTCACAGTTTGGCTCAAGCACCCTCCTCCGTACCAAGTTTTTGTCGTTGGAGGTTAACCGGTGACTATATGCAATTATCATCGTTAAGTACTCAGTTCATCCACAGTGAACCCATGGCTCATGAAGTGTACTTGCATACAGGGTATGGGGTTCTATTGCTGCACCAATTAGTGAGCCATGGCTCATGAATTCAATAAGTTCATACTCCACAATGGCGTGAGTTCCGTGCACGGGTTAGCCCTTACTCATTTTTGTAACCTGGACTCATTAGGGACTACTAATCATAAGAGGAATGTTGAGTAGAAGGCTTGTTAATTTTTCACTTGTAACTAGGTTGCCTCTACGTTGAGAAATATGGCCATTATATATATACACACACTACAACTCAGAATGAAGATGGTTTTTTTAAAATAAAGAATACTAGTGGATGCAGGACCTGTATGAAACACAAATTTAAATAATCGTCATCTTTTTCATGCTGCAAATATGGTTTCACTATTTAGAAATCTTAAATTTAAGGGTAAATACACTGTTCTTCCCTGAGGTCCGGTCAATATATATTGGCCTCTTCTCTTATTTGCCAAATTATACTAACCTCCATGTTAGACTTGTCGAATTTGTAATTACGTTTCTGTCCTTATATATAAATTGTATTTTATTGCAATAAATACGTCTTCCAGGGTAGAATTGGAATTTTTAAATTATAAAATTGCTTACATCAGCATTTTTTGTCATTCACGATATTGACCATTTAGGAAGGGGAGGTATGTGTTATTTGCATACAAATCTTAAGGGTGGGGGAAGTGTAACTTGACCATTGAAATGGTAAGTAACTTTAGGGAAAATCAATGTAATTTACCTTAAATTTAATGTTGCCAACTGAACAAAGAGTGTAGAGTAACAAACTGCACATGATGCCTTGCCCATAAAGGTCTCTGTAAATGTAAGAGTTGGATTATACATGTACAAAATTTAGAAGAATCCTGGATTCTTTTATGTGCACTTTAAATCTTTTATGTGCACTTTAAGTCGAAAATACAATCTACTATATTGACAATATAATAAATTTACATCAAAGATATAAAATTCATGTAACATATTACATTGAGTTACAATATTATTAAATTGAGAGCGCAACAATTTTACATTGATGTTATTCTCAATTTAGTATTGCAAATTATATATTCTAGAACTACGTGTCTACTTCATCTTTTACATAATTTGAATGTAAATAGCTGCATGAGGAGCAACCTAATGGTCCTGATTCTTAGAAACAACAAAAGAAGAAAGAAGAATTAGGAGGAAGAAATGAAAAAGGAAAATGTATAGTGATTCTTGAAGAAGTAAAACTTCTTTCATTATATAAAGGTTTGCCCATGTAATTAATAAACATTGGTTTAAATGGTATGATTTTTCAATCCAAAAGAGACTTGAGTGTATAAGCTCTGCCAAAGGTAAAATTATAAATGTGTGTACTTAATTGAACTTATTTAGGAATAAAAAAAAAAAGAAGAAAAAAAAAAAAATTTGGCTACATAAAGAACGATTTCCCTGCCGAAGAACCCAAAGAAAGTAATATCCCAGCCAAATTATTATTATTTTTTATTTTTTTATTTTTTTTTATGGTTGACTATATGTCAGTTTAGTTTTTGCATTCAACATAGAATTGTATATTTCACGTCACTATGCTCAGAGCCTAAGTCCGAAAGGAAGCATCACATCATTAATTTAATAAAAAATCGTGGACAATAATTACTTACTAACAAGGCCAATGAATATCCTTTACTGATCACTTAACCACTTATGTGGCTCTATCAACACATTTTCTTTTATTACAGAATTAAAAAAAAAAAAAACATAAATAAATCAATGATGATTATTTTCTATTTTTATTAATTTTTTTTATATATATTTTTTCTCCTCCTTAGTTGATACTAATACACACATGCCTCCACTGAGGTTCAAACTCTTGAGCTCTCTTTAAGAAGTAGGGGTTTGGTACCGTTAAGCTACTGACTTGTTGGTAATGACTTGATTCTTGGTGCTTGTTCTCATATGTACTGAATGATTATTCTGAGGGTATGCCCTTTGTGTGTCTGTATTTGAATTTCTTTATCTATAATACGACACCAATTATGAAAAGCAAAAAGAAAAAAATCAATGCCTTGATTTCATTCAAGTAAAACTAGGGCTGCAACTTGGGCGGGCTAACCTAGCCCAGCCCAACCCATAAATTTTTAAATTTGGACATACAATTCACAAATCGGGTTCATTTTCGGGTTGAGTTTTATCAAAACCCAGACATATTCGGGTTGGGCTCGGGCTCGGGCTCAACCCGAACCCAACCCAAAACCCAAAATTAAATTTTTTTTTTTCCTTTCTCTCTCCTCTCTCTTCTTTCTCTTTCTCTATCTGCCACCATCGCCACCGGTGTTGCTCGCCCTCCGTCGCCGCTGATCCGCCTCTGCCGCCAAATGGTGTATAAATATAAATTAATATATAAACTCACACACACAAACATATATACACACAAGGCAAACTAAAAATTGGGTTTTAAAATAAAAACATGGATTGCTAACCTGTACATGAAGATGTCTCTATTATCACCAAGAGATTTCTTACAGAGAGAACAGGCTTCTAAGAAATGGAGTTGGTGGTGTTCTTCAAATCTGCCATTAAAGAACCTTCCAGTTCCAGATCTCGGAGAAGAAAAAGTATATGGGTTTTGATATGCTGATATGGGTTTTGATATAGGTAACAGATAGATAAACTGAAATATATGGATTTTGATTTTTGTTGATTTTGTAGTTTGCAGTTGCACAGAGAGAGAGATAGAGGGGGCAATTTCAGAGGTGAGGGCGAGAATAGAGATGGAGGCGATTGGGAGGCTGAAATGATTTGCCCTAAATATATATATATATATATATATATATATTTAATAATAATATAATCAAATATATATAATATACATATATATATATATATATATATATAAAATATAATATATAAATTTATGAAAAAAAAAAAAAAAAACTCAACCCGTCAACATAACCCATCCCGTCCGAAAATATTCGGTCCGGGTTATGACCACAACCCCATGTTAAGTACAATTCGGGTTGGTCCAACCCAACCCGATTCGGGTTGAGGTTGAGTTGGGGTTGGGCTGGGTTGGGCCAACCCAACTTGCAGCCCTAAGTAAAACAACTCCATGGACATCATCTCTGCTTTCTTCTCCCTATTTCTCCCCATCCGACCAATGTTCACGTCCTCACCATGCTTTTCTTCTTCCCCTCACACTTCCATTAATATCATCACTCAATAATCAAGCATCCTTGAAGAGTTGTTGTATTGGAGGTTTTATCACTCGATAATCAACATCAATTCCTCCCATATCATTTGTTTTGTACATTTAAGGTTTCTCTTTTTCTTTAGGGTAAATTGCACTCACACCCCCTTAAGTTTGGGTTAAAGACACCCAAGTACAACTTGGACATTGTTTGGATAA